GCTTTTAGTTTTGCAGACTCATTTCCAAAGTTATTTAAGTCTGTTTTTCCCCTAGTTTCCCTAAGTGAAGTTGCTTCATATTAATAATACAGGCCAGGTGCAGTGATTCATGTCTGTAATCCCAGCAGTTTGGAGGTCGAGGCAGGCAGATCACCTGAGGTTGGGAGGTTGAACCAGCCTGGCCAACATGGTGAAACCCCATATCTATTAAAGATACAAAAATTAGCTGGGCATGCTGGCACACGTCTGTAATCCCAGCTACTTAGGAGGCTGAGGCAGGAGAATCACTTGAATGCTGGAGGAGGAGATTGCAGTGAGCTGAGATCGCTCCACTGCACTCCAGCCTGGAAGACAGGGTAAAACTCCATTTCAAAATAATAATAATGATAATGATAATACAGTTAGATTCTTTGTCATAGTCTGCTTTTTGTCCTCAGATCCTCTGACCTACTACTATATATTTTTTAAATATGCATACATTATGGTTCACTCCATCCTGGAAAGTTCTAGCTGGTTTTGATAAATGTGTAATGTCTTGCATCCACGATTATAGTGTCATACAAAGTAGTTTCAACACCCTAAAAAATGTCCTTTGCTTCATTTACCCATTCAACCCTCTTCCTGACCCTGGCAATCACTGATCTGTTTATAGTCTCCATGGTTTTTCTCTTTCCAGTTGTTATGTAAATGAAATCTATAGCATGTAGTCTGTTCAAACTATCTTTTTTCAATTAGCCATTTGTATATAGAACCCATTCCTATGTTTGTGTAGTTTGATATTGGTAATTCATTCTTGTCTTTTTTTTATCACTGAATAGTATTCCATTGTATAGAATTCCATAGTTTATTCACTTATTGAAGGACATTTGTTGTTTCCAGTTTGGCATTGTTATTAATGAATCTCCTGTAAACACTTACATGGCATTTTTTTGTGTGGACGTAAGTTTTCAAATCAGTTAGGTAAATGCCTAGGAGACCTACTGTTTGATCATATGACGAAACTGTATTTAGCTCTGTAAGAAACTGCAAAACTGCCTTCCAAAATGGCTATACCATGTTGAAATCTCACTGTCAATGAGAGTTCCCATCAATTTGTATCTTCACCAGAATTTGGTATTTTTAAATTAATTTTTATTTATTTGGATTTTAGCCATTTTGATTTGTGTAGCAATATATCATTGTTGTTTTAATTGTGAATTCATTTTTAATATAAGGTTGCATGTCCTTGTGAAAGTTGCCAAGCTTTTATGACTACCTGTAGTGAGTTTTCAAACATAAAGTTATGTAAGAGTTATTTTCTGTTTCTTAGACACACCCGAGATAATCCATAGATTTTCAAAAAATGAATAAATAAAGCAAATATGGAATACAGTCAGGGTATTCTTTTACTTCTTCAGTTAGCCTTTTTGGTTCAAACAGCACCAACAACGTAAAATATGCTCGTGATCCGCAGCTCAATGACCCTCATTTTCTGTAACAGTAATTAACTCAGTGTACCAAATATAACCAGTGAAAATGAAATAATAAAATACTAAATAACAAAATAGTGAGGACAATATAGAGTATAAGCATTAACCAAGGAACAAAAGCAGAATAAGGGCTCTACCTCCAAAATAATATGATAAAATGAGGATGAAGGCAAATGAAAGATTTTGAACATGATCATTCTTGATAAATGATCCTTTCAAGTATCCTAATCAATTTTACTTTAAACAGATATCTACAGCAAAAAAGAAATTCATCTGTTTAAAAAAGTAACTGAATATTTGCTCCACATCAACTGCAGATGTGATGACTAAAGATCAAATCCCATGTAACAATTATACATGACCTTTGTTTTCAACTTTTCTTTCTGCTTTGCCTATAACATTCGAAATACCACTTATATCAAAATTCTGCCTAATTATTTCTGTCTTCCAATGTTTCCTTTACTCCACAAAAAGAATAGTAACTTGATTCCAGTATTAGCTGGAAATCTAGCAATCATGGACCCCATATCAGGCTGAGTACTTTTATTTTTGTTTCCACAACCACTGTATAATGGCTCTTTTGCAGTGATTGTTGAAGGAAATAATATTGGACAAGTAAAAGAGAATGAAACTTCAGAGTGTTATTATAGACTGCCACCTTCTTTCTTTCTAGCATTGTCAGATTAATAAATAAAAGCACTGGACATCCATTAAATTTAAATTCTAGATAAAATGGAATAAAATATTGCATGGAACATACCAGAACTAAAAACAAAACAACAACAAAACACACACACACAAATATCTTTTGAAATCCAAATTTAACTGGGTGTCCTTATATTTCATCTTGCAACCCTACCTCCATCTCCATCAGTTGGCTTGTAAGTTCAAGAGGAAAATGACATTGAGAAGATAAAAGAGAAACAGCTGAGATCATTAGGAAAGACAGTAATGCTGCACACACACAAAAAGAAACCCAACACTGAATAAAATATCTGAAGACTCCTGATTTCTTTTTTAAGTAACCATAATATTGATGAATCACAGTTTTCATTTAACTCTTAATGCCTTTGAGATATCTCACCATTTCATATCATAGATGTCTCCACCAACATTTTACAGAGGTCTCCTTTTTCCTTGAATGTCTCTTATTCAACCTGTTTTTTCTGTAAGCAACGTGTTGAACATATAATAGTGCTAATATATAAATAATTACTTTTTTTGTTTGTTTTTGCAGTTATTTAATTACTAGTATTGCAATAAAAAGGCTTTTATATATCTTGTAAGAGCATTCAGATAAGTGCAGTTATGCTGCAGATATTACATTCAACACATAACTTATATAACTGAAATACTACATTTATTTCTGTATGTAAAGAAATTCTTTTAGATTTCAAATAACATTTTGGAGCATAATCTGATTGTAAATTGAGAATTGCCTTTTCAGTTATGAGGAAGATTCATACATCACACATAATTGAAGTTATACTTTTGGTACATTACGGATAGTAGTAATAGTATAAAGGCTAAAGAATAACTATTATAAAATTATAATTTAAAAATATAGCTCAAATGATTCTAAAAAGAGTTTATATTTACTTCTATTTGGGTTTGTTCTTCTATCAGTCCTTTTTCTTTAGATAATCTGCAGTTTTCTTCATGTTACACCATATAGGAAAGATTTAGTTGACAGGAGAATGTGTTTAGTTCTTTGAAATAAAGAAATTTAATATAATCAATTAGATATTTTTGTTGCATGGTATAGAAGTTGAGGCAATATGAGTGATCATATGTGAATAATGTTCATGTTCTATATCTTTATATAGCTTTGTATTCTATATGTATGATCACAAATATATATCTTATACATGTATTATCCTCATATATATGTATATATGGTATATATATGTGTATATATCAATATTTGCATAGAGTACTGAATGACCATATATATCAAAATGAATATTTTATTGCTTTAAAAATATATTTAGTATAATTAACACATTAAAAACGTGTTTAAAATGAAAGCATTGCTTTCAGTCTAAAATTATCAGCTGTTACATATTATTTCAGACTCTCTTATCATACATACTATCTAAATTTAGCCCACAATATAGGTACTGATTTAAATATAATCAAGCTGGAAATGTTACATGCATAGCACTTAAATTATGACCACAAGTTAATTTCTAATCATTCTTCAATTAAAACAAATAAACTCTGACATATTAACTTTCAGCATTATGATATTATTACTGCGAATACTGTCAACTCTTCTTCAGAATAAAATATCTCATTTTAGAGTCGAGATATAGAAAAATAAGTTTAATCGCCAGGCGCGGTGGCTCACGCCTGTAATCCCAGCACTTTGGGAGGCCGAGGCGGGCGGATCACAAGGTCAGGAGATCGAGACCACGGTGAAACCCCGTCTCTACTAAAAATACAAAAAATTAGCCGGGCGCGGTGGCTGGCGCCGTAGTCCCAGCTACTCAGGAGGCTGAGGCAGGAGAATGGCGGGAACCCGGGAGGCGGAGCTTGCAGTGAGCCGAGATCGCGCCACTGCACTCCGGCCTGGGCGACAGAGCGAGACTCCGTCTCAAAAAACAAAACAAAACAAAAAAAAAAAAAAAAGAAAAATAAGTTTAATCAAAACAAAGTCAGAGAAGGTGAGACAATCAGAAAAAATATATTGTGTTTGAGATTCCTTTAGACAATATGTTATATATAATAAAGCTAACCAAATTCTGTTTTATATGGTGAAATTTAGTATTGTAAGGAGACACTTTTTTTTTTTGAGACAGAGTCTCGCTCTGTCGCCCAGACTGGAGTGCAGTGGCTGGATCTCAGCTCACTGCAAGCTCCACCTCCCGGGTTCACACCGTTCTCCTACCTTAGCCTCCGAGTAGCTGGGACTACAGGCGCCCACCACCACGCCCGGCTAGTTTTTTGTATTTTTTTTAGTAGAGACGGGGTTTCACCGTGTTAGCCAGGATGGTCTCGAACTCCTGACCTCGTGATCTGCCCGTCTCGGCCTCCCAAAGTGCTGGGATACAGGCTTGAGCCACTGCGCCCGACCAGGAGACACTTTTATAATTAACTGCTATAAAATACATATTTATATACATAAACATTATATGAATAAATATACGCACATATGTATGTATATATGTGTGTGGGATATATACACACATATACACACACACATATACACACACATATATGTGTATATATACACACACATGTGTGTGTGTGTGTGTGTGTATATATATATATATATACCTTCAAGTCTTCTGAAAGCTAGAAGGTTTAGACTGTAAATGAATGTCAATGAGGTAAATACTCATTAACATTTATAGTGTACCTTATTATATTAAGTTGTATATAGCATTTTGCAATGCTAACAGAGGCTTAAGAGTTGTTGCCTTATAAATTTAAATTAATACCTGAGGATATTTTGTAATGGAGACCTTGATATATTTTGGTTATTTTGATACTTAGAAAATCAAATAATTAATTAGTCAGGACTTTTACCGGAAAGACACATGGTGACTGACAGAAACAGCATTAGTTTCCAGGAGGAAGCCATCGTCGGTCACTAGAATCTTCTGTGTCTCAATGGGTTTAACAGCTCTGGTGTTTCTTCATTAAAGAGTTCCCTGTTTGAAATAGATAACAATTTTCTTAAACAGAGAAAATAAACAAACAGAAAAGCAAACAAATACAAACAAATGCAAAAATCTCCTAATAACATGATAAATAACTATTAGTGCAAAGGTCAGATTAATACTCACCAAAGAGCAATAATACAGTTTCTGCTAGAATTCATGTAATACACAACACAAGTACTTAGTAAATGTGATCAACTCTCCTTTTCACATTTATCTACATTGAATACTCCCTTCAATGTTTTTACTTGAATAGTAAAAACAACGGGTTCTAATGGGAATAATTTTTCCTCACAGGGAATGTATAATAGCTATATTTATTACCTTAGACAAATTATTGGACTAGAAAAATAGAATAGAAAAACCAGTTACATTAGTATATACTCCTTTGGTCTAGAACATAACTAATGATCAGTTGGTCAAGTAATTTTACACACTGTGCCTGTAGCTCATCAAAACCACCACAGGAAAATTTTCTCATTTAATTATTAATGTCAACTTCCTTTGTTTATAACTCCTATGATTATCTGTACTGTGTTATATTTCCCTCCTTTGGTGAATCATTTCTTTCAGTATCTTTTGCTAGCTGGAACCTAAGGGAAAAAGAATTTTCATGAATATTTAATGTTTTTGTCTAATGCCATTTTTATAACAATAACCAGTGTAGCACATTAATATAATTTGGTTCCTTTTTTTTCCCCTGAATGATACAATAAATATGAAAAGAATATAAAATTCTGACACTAGACTTTCTGCAAGAACTTGACAAATACATATTGGACATTTCTATAATTCACAAGTACCTCCAGAATTTTCACGTGTCAGCTATGTTCTTCTTGGCCCAAAGCCATTCAGTTGAGAAATAATTGTCAATTATGTCAATTATGTTTGAATAATGATTGCCTTCTTGGTACCTGGTCCCTCCTTATCAAATTAGAAGTCTAGGTTATCTCTATATTTTAGGAAGCATCTGAAAAATATATATAGGTATTTTTCCCCTAGCTAGATCAGAATTTAATTTAGTTATGTCAAAGAAAGGAATTTATTGTTAGTACCTCTACCCGAATGGAGTCAGTTACATTTTATTTATAATTTTAAATATAAGTCTTGGTAGTCTATTTTAACTTTATATTTGGGGATCACTAATGGAGAAGAAAGTTAAGACAATAATGGTTAATTTATTTATAACAAGCATAAACAAAGAATTTTTCATCATTTTCTCTATTTTATGAGTAAATATCAGAAATACATACAATTTGAAGCACAAAATAACAACCTCATAGCTAATTGTGACAATTTAAAACATCTTGGTTATTTATACACTGTTTTTAGCAGAAAGGAAAAAAACAAAATCCACATATCACATATAATAACTGGAGAGATTAAGGTTGCCAGAAGTACAATTATGACTCATGAAAACTGCACAGTTGAGTTAGCAAATTTTCAATTCATGATTAAATTGACCTTTTTTGAAATTGTGAATTCTGAGAAGGTAATATAGCTTTGACTTAACTCATTTTGACGAGCTTGTGCTCAGTCCCATACTCCCCAAACTGGTACTTCCCAGTCTATTTACAATGTCCTAAGGTCCTCTGTTGTTCTAAATATTCTTCATAAACAAATACAAATGTTATTACAACCCTTAAGGACTGTTTCTGGGACCAGCAAAAGGAAAACCCACAGACATTCATGTGCACACACATACACAGGTTGATAGTCATCAAAAGGAGAATTGACTCATGAAGATAGCAGGATAAATTGGACACAGTAGCGAAGGATCTTCAGTAAAATTTCAAGGAGTTATTGGTCTTAAAGAACCGATTTTTGAGTGGAATAGTGTGGAAAGACTGACAAGGAACACATGGATAAATAAGTCAGTGTCAAACAGTGATAAATACTCTGAAGAAATTAACAGACTCACTCCATTCCCACAACACTGACTTTCTTGCTGGTCCTCAAGTATGCCAAGCACATACTGTGTCCTCTGCCTAGACCTCTCCAACATCAGTTCTTTCCATACCTTAGAGTTTTAAATCATTGCAGACTGTTCTTCCTAGAAGCCTTTCTTGGTTACTCTCCTTAAAATAGCAAGCCCTCTCCTGTCAGCCCTGTCACTGATTTTTCTTACATTTGCTCTGCCTTATTTTTGTTCTTAGCAATTATCAGTGCCTGAGGTTAAACTAGTCTGTTTACATCTTAATTATCTTTTTCTCCTACTAGAATGTCATATCCACGGAAGCAAGGATTTTTGTCTTGTTTATCTTTACAGAACCAGCATCTAGAACAATGACCACCATAGAAAGTATTCAATTATTATTTTTTAGATAATAATTATTGAATAAACTGAAGTCTCTAGGAAATAAATTATTTGGCAAAAGATTAAAAAAGAAAAAAAAACAAAAACTGGGCGGGTGCGTAGTTCATGCCTATAATCCCAGTACTTTGGGAGGCAAGGCAAACAGATCACTTGAGGTCAGGAGTTTGAGACCAGCCTGGCCAACATGGTGAAACCTTGTCTCTACTAAAAATACAAAAATTAGCTAGATGTGGTGGTACTTGCCTATAATACCAGTTACTTGAGAGACTGAGACATGAGAATCACTTGAACCCGGGAGACAGAGGTTGCAGTGAGCCGAGATTGTGCCACTGCACTCCAGCCGGGGTGATACAGAGAGCCTCTGTCTCAAAAAAAAAAAAAAAAAGAAAAAAAAACAAACAAAAATACTCAGTGTTTCTTAGGTTTTCATACTACAGTGATATGCTGTATAATGACATTTCAGTCAATGTTGAACTGCATATATGATGATGCTCCCATAAGATAATTATATTTTACTGTACTTGTCATATGTTTAGATACACAAATATTTATTTTGTTATAATTGCCTTCATTATTCAGTACAGTAACATCCTGTACAGGTCTGTAGCCTAGAAGCAATAGGCTATATTATAGCCTAGATCTGTAGCAAGCTGTACCATCTAGGTTTGCGTAAGTAAACTCTACAATGTTCACACAATCATTATATCCCTGTGTGATACAATGTGAGAAATAAGAAGATATTTCTCAGAATGTGGCTCAGTCATTAAGAGATACTTGACTATACTAATAACTACCATTTATTAGATAAATTACAAGCATTGTGTTAAACACTTTGCCTACACAATCTGTAGGACATCTCTTATTGATGAAGCTAATTTGCCCCAGGTCACACAGTTAGTAAATAATGTTAACCCTTAAGCTCCATCATTTCTTACAAGAGTCCAAAGCAATCCCTGCAAGAGACTAGACAACATTTACACTGACACAATTGGGACTGGTACAGAGTGAATAAAAAACCCTTTAAAAACATTTAATTAACATATGCCTTAAATGTTTGTCATGTAATATTTAATTCTGTATTCTTATATAGAATATATTTGCCAATTATTACATAGCAGTGACATCTTTTTACGATTATAAAGATTCTGGTAAAAAAATGATTTCTTTTATCTTGGCATCACAGGAAACTGTAGTGTATAAATAGTGCCTGTGTTGCATCATATACAACTTTAAACTTATTTCAAGTGGCCTAAAAGCATATGAAGTCATCTGATGGCAGGATTCTTGGAGGCTTTCATTATTTTTATGCAGTTATCTCATACATACATCATAGCAGTTTTAAGTGACTATCTTATAAAGTTTAGGGCTTTAGCCTTAAACAAACTTTTTGCCAAATGCTCTTCCTCTTGGTACTCTCATGTATCTGTGATTTCCAAAATGCTTATTTGACTTACATAATTACAATAACATGGACAACTTACATAACTAGACTTGGAACAAATACAACTGAATCTTGGTAAACATGTGACTGACAAAGTGGCAGTGAATAAACTAGAAATTAGCCTACTTACCTGTGAATATCATCTGTATTCTGAGTTATTTTCATTTATTAAGGTAATGATGGATTTATTCTGGGAAATTAGAACAGTAGAGGTTTAGTAAAAGTGTTTCTACTCCCATTTGCATGTGATAAGGCCTCAATGTAAGGGCTTTGTATGTAAATTTTGGTGAAATGAATACAATGAAGGAATATCTCTTTTTCAGTGGACCTTATTCTCCATCTCAACCATGACTCTTTGCTAAGACTGAAGCTTGTGACATTTTGCTTGGAAGTACCCTTGAAGGACTGAGTAAGGTGGGAATACGGCTCAGGAAAAGGAATATAAAATGTTTTTGAGGTTAATTGCTTTCAAGGTATCCTTGAAGTTATCTAGCTCAATGCACCTGGGGAAAAAGAAAAAGATAATAAAATGTGGCCAAAGTTATAGCAGGAATAAAAAAGAATGTGTCTTCTTATTGCTTGCTGTCATACATCCTTTGAGGACCAAGCAGCAAAAAAAAATTTTGGCTTTCAAATTTAACCAGATTGAGTTATGATATTGTTTATCTTATAAAAGCAAATGACAGTTCTCTGTCCTAGAAAAAGTGCTATGAGATGTAGCGAGCAGACTGAGCTCACAGTGTCCACATGTTTTGGAGGCATTCTTTAACATGATTTTCTATAGTGTGTTAAACACAGTGAGGCATAGTGAAGTTCAGTTTTTCTTACTCTTTTTAATATAAACATTTTTTAAGCCTCAACAAAACCTGCAATGAATAGGGTCCAGCAAGAATTTTAAAAGGAGCCACAACAGTTTTCTGAGACTTCAAGTCAACTTCGTAATTTTATTTAAAATATAAGAGTAGAAAAAATATGGTTCAAGATTATTTACTACTCAAAAGTATAATTAATGGAGACTGGAATCAGAAAGAAAAAAGACAACTGCTCTAGAAATCTGATGCCAGAAATAGTTTGTGATTCCTACCACCTAGTGACTGATATTAGAACAGGGTAAACACCCAACTATGGCTCACGACTCCACATCAGTTCTGACAGGTCTTGTGTTGTGTTGGGATGCTGAATACCATTTCATGGCTGAGTGGCAGTAGATTTCCTTTTCTGGCAATTTGGGAA